ATAGCTCTGTATCAACGTTTGCAGGGGTTAATCAGTGTTAGTTTGACATTAGCTTAAGTTAATGAGCCCAGCTATACTAAACGATCACAATAACTATGATAATTTCAATTTAATATAAAATATCTAAAACCTAGTGTAACTAGATCTGTAGAAGTAGCCCTAAAGCGGTCATTCAGAAGCCTCTACTGGTGAAGGCCTGCCTGGTTGGAGTTTTGACCAGCGTTTCTGTATTATTGGTCTTCTGAAATCTTTCTTCGCTGTAGCAAACCTTTAGCTGAATCATTTCTGCTGCAGGGCACGAGCTGGTCATAATCCTTCGACGGGCGGCGAGCGCTGCTGTGTTGGTCTTCCATTAGCTGGCCTGATAGGAAGTGGAGGAGCATTAGCCAGAGCAGCAGCCTGCAGCCGCAGATCCGTCTTAAGCCACATCATCAATTCCTCCTATCTGATCCTCCTGCTTCCTGCATCTCCGCTCACACAGCTGCTCCATTCACACGCCTCGCGCTCCGCAGGCTTCAGAACTCAACTGTGCGCGTGTAATAAATTGGAGGATTCAGGAGGCTTAAAATAAAACGATTATGAAAATTACAACAAGGCATAAGCATGAATGTATATGCGGTACTGTGTACACATTTCATTTATATATTATAGTATCAGAAAAAAGCAAAATAAACATGATCAGCATAAAACTAAAGAGAAGTAAGTACAATATCATATTATAAGACCAAAGTTCAGTCTTTTTGCCTTTGCTGATCCAAGTAATCCCAAACACATTCAGTGAGGTAGAGGTCTGGACTCTAGGGTGGTCAGTCCATCATTATGGGAACATTCATTAGTGTGCGTTGTGCTGGTGCGAGTGGATCAGACACAGCAGTGCTGCTGGAGTTTTTAAACACTGTGTCCACTCACTGTCCACTCTATTAGACACTCCTACCTTGTCAGTCCACCTTGTAGATGTAAAGTCAGAGACGATGGCTCATCTGCTGCTGCACGGTTTGTGTTGGTCATCCTCTAGTCCTTCATCAGTGGTCACAGGACGCTGCCCACAGGACACTGTTGGCTGGATATTTTTGGTTGGTGGACTATTCTCAGTCCAGCAGTGACACTGAGGTGTTTAAAAACTCCAGCAGCACTGCTGTGTCTGATCCACTCAGACCAGCACAACACACTAACACACCTCCACCACGTCAGTGTTACTGCAGTGCTGAGAATGATCCACTGCCCAAATAGTACCTGCTCTGTGGGGGTCCATGGGGGTCCTGACCACTGAAGAACAGGGTAAAAGGGGGCTAACAAAGTATGCAGAGAAACAGATGGACTACAGTCTGTAATTGTAGAACTACAAAGTGCACCTATATAGTAAGTGGAGCTGATAAAATGGACAATGAGCATAGAGACAAGGAGATGGTGACAATGTTATGCCTGATCGGTGTATATGTACGTATTTTGTGTGTGTGTACATATAATATATATATATATATATATATATATATATATATATATATATATATATATATATAAAGCAGTTTAAGCTGCTACATGTATGAATGTATTAATATAGATATATAAATGTATATTATAAATATTTGATGATGAAAATGGCCTGTGCAAATATAAAATGGCACATTTTATGTTATATACTTTTTTTTACAATTTATTTCTAACATGTCAACCTTAGCAAACAAATAGGAATTATGCTCTCTAAGTTGCACAAAAGTGCAATATTTAAGGTTATTTCCTGTAGAGGATAAAATTATTCTCATTTTAATTATTTCTTTCAAAACTACATACGAATACCAAATAACCATTAAATATTTTTATATTAAATAATGTAATAACTATAAAAAGAACATACAGAAGTACAACACATGAGCTGTGAAGTGCCGAGATAGAGAGGCCTTCAGACAGACTGCTACTTCACAGAGCTGCTTTAGGTCTGGATGAGGATCAGGCTCAGTTTGGCAGATCTAAAGGTGCAGATTTGCACCTCAAAGAGTGTACAGTCGGAGTGTGAAAGGAGCCGAGGGCGGAACAGGGCTGGAGCTTTTTACCCCTGAGTGCTGTCGTTTTGTTTGATTCCGTTCACAGTCCATTCGGCTCCATCTGCGCCGCTGCTTTTCTGGTTAATTCAGCAGAACGTGTGATCTAGGTCCTCACGGATGGTGCTTTAGGTGATCTGATTTGATAAACAGGCGCCTGCTACGCCTGTTTATCCAGCTCTGATTGGAGTGGACTGGGTTTGTGGAGAGATCGGAGACTCTGCGGTGGTGAATTCTCTGCGGGCAGCGCAAAGGTTCACGAAACTCATGCATTATGTACTAGACTAAACAAATGTGTCAAATGCAATATCACACTGGGTAATTTCCCCTGGGCTGAGCTGGAGAGGCGACTGGGGGCCTTTAAAGGTGTGATAAGTAATATCTTGACTTTGTGTGAGACTCACTGTTTGTCACGAGCCTGGTCATCACAGCACTGTAGTAGGAAATGACCTTACCACTTTCACACCTAACGCGTGCTTCTAAGACCTACGGCTACTACTGCCATTTTTATCTTGATACTATAATGGAGCCTAAAATAACTTAGAAGTTTAAAAAAGTAACGTATAGACTTGGACTTATGGATGGCTGTGGCATCATCAAAAAAGCGAGAACTGAACTTGTATTTGTGGTTTGATTTGATTTTGATTAGTGGTATTGACAGCATGTTGAGACGGTTCCCAAATGTTAATGTTAAATGTTCCCAAAAAACTTCAGTGCTGTTGAAGTCTGGTGACAGCTTTCTCAAAAAAGACTTCTCAAACACTTCAGAAAAAAAACAAACAAAAAAGAAAATCAATGATAATTCAATATTTTTTACACTGCTGTATCATATGCCCATAATCTATAATACTTTCACCTCCAAATGACATTCCTGTAGTTCTGTTTTATAGTCATCTATTAAAAACTGCAATAATTCTTGTAGTGGTGCTATAGATACTCTGTAGAATTTCTCTAGGAATTCCTATCATAGTACTATAGATCTAATGTAATAAATTCTGTAAAATTTCTTTAGAAATTACACTAGATTTACAATAGATCCTATGTAGACATTCTGTATAAATTATGTAAAAAAAATCCTGTAGTATTACTATAAATCTACTGTTGAAATTCTGTAGAATTTCTGTACAAATTTCTCTAGTATTACTGTAGACATTCACTAGAAATTCTGTAGAATATCTTTAACAATTCATGCAATATTACTATAGCTTAGTTGTAGAAATTCTGTAGAATTTCTGTAAAAATTCCCATAGTATTACTACCGATTATCTGTAGAAATTCTAGAAATTCCTATAGTAATACTATAGATCTTCTGTGAAACTTTCTGCAAACATTCATGCAGTATTACTACAGATTATCTGTAGAAATTCTGTAAAAAAATTTTTGGATATATCTTCGGTAGAATTTCTGTAGAGTTTCTGTTGAAGTTCCTGTAGTATTAGTATAAAACATCTGTATAAATTCTGTGGAATCATAGAATCTTGTAGTTGTACTATAGATCTTCTGTAAAATTTCTGTAGAAATTCCTGTAGTAGTACTATAGTTCTTCTATAGAAATTTTGCAGAATTTCCTGTAGTATTACTACCAATTATCTGTAGAAATTCTGTAGATTTTTTTTTTTAGAAATTCCTATAGTAATGCTATAGATTTTACTGCAAAAATTCATGCAGTATTGTTACAGATTATCTGTAGAAATTCTGTAAAAAATTCTGGATATATGTTCAGTAGAATTTCTGTAGAGTTTCTGTTGAAACACCTGTAATATTAGTATAGATCTTCTGTAAAAATTCTGCAAAATTTCTGTTTTAATTCCAATATCCATATCTACTGTAGAATTTCCATAGAATTTCTGTAGAAATTCCTGTAGTATTACTATAGGTCTTCTGTAGAAGTTTTGCAGAATTTCTTTAAAAATTCCTGTAATATTACCATAGCACCTTCTGTATGAATTGTGTAGAATTGTAGAATCCTGTAGTTGTGCTATAGATCTTCTGTAGAAATGCTGTAACCTTTCTGTAAGAATTCCCATATTACTATAGATCATCTGTAGAGTCTCTGTAGAAATGATTGTAGTATCACTGTAGATCTTCTGTAGACATTTTGCAGAATTTTTGCAATATTACTATAAATCTCCTATAGAAATTCCTGTTAATTAATAATACTGCATTAAATTTATAAAAAGAGGAAACTATGTTACTATTTGCTTTTTGTTTTTGATAATCACCACAAATTAACAATTAAATCAATCGATAATGGATTTTTTTCATTTTTGTTCATATAATCATGAACGAAGCCAAGGACTTCATTAACTAGTATATTTTTGAATAGATTTGAATGTATTTTTCTAGTGCATACCCTCATTTTCTCCTAGTAATTTTGCTCTGGAACATTTGGAAGCTCGTTTCCAACAGATAGAGAGGACTTTTTCTCTGTTTCTGGCAGCAGTGTGTCAAAAATTTTGACTTAACATCTTGAACCGATGGCTTACTCTCTCAAAATACTGACCTACTATCCCAAAATAATTACCTACTTTTTGAAACATAATAATTCACTACCTGGACATTTTTTCAAAAGCATGAGAAAATAAGTGATTGTTTTGAGAAATGTCAATATTTTGATGAAATAAGTCTTTATTTTCTTAGATTAAGTCAATATTGTGAGAACATTAGTCATTTTTTTAATTTTAAGACAATATTTCAAGGTACAACATCAACATTTTGATTTAAAAATTCATTATTTTTTGAAAATGCTAAGCCATAAAAAGAAAAAGGGGGGAAAAGCAGACGATTTTCCCTGCTCTGTCTGGTGGGAATGAACTTCCACAGGCAAAAAATGATAAACCACAAGAGAAATCCAGGATATGAGCCCTTTAAATCCCCCTGCGCCCTGATTGGTCGGTGGGCGGGGCCCGGAGCAGCGAGACTCGGCTGCGCTCGGTCTTTATTGTCAGTGTGTCGCGAGGACGGACGGAGCGCGGGTGGAAGCTGCGCGCGCCCTACACTGTACTGCAACTGCGCTCGCGGACGGAACGCTCGCGAGCAGATTCGAGTCGGTTAACCTAAACAGCGGACAGCAGGTCCCGCTCTGGAGCGGAGGATCTCATTTCTACAGAAACAGTAACCGGGCCGCGGAGTTTGATGTTTGTTTTTGAAAAATAACTGAGTCTCGCGCGGCGGTTATTTTTTTTGAACAGCCGTTGGGAAAGTGAAGAAGCCCAACGGTCGATTCTCCTCAGGATTACAGCGGAGCGGGCGGAGAAAAACGCCTGAAAAGCCCTCAGAACCGGAGGATACTGTTGTTTTGGGGTGTGTGCGGTGAGTTACGGCCGGCTGAAGCCACTTTAGTTCGGCGCTGTCTCGGGTAACGGCTATACCGGCGGACGGAGAGCAGATCTCCGGACAGGAACGCTTTTCTCTCTCTTTTCCAGGATTATCCGGGGTTTTCTGTCGGATTGGACTCTTTCTAAGCGGAGTAAAGTGAGAATTGTGGAGGAATTAAACGGTTATTTGTGCGGAATGAGAGGTGTCGGTCCCTCGCAGTGACGGAGCTGGATGTAATCGGCAATTTATGGTGAGTAAATGGCTTTTTTGTGTACGTTTTACCTTCATACACACACGAAGCTGAAGTCAGCTCTCTGTTCGCCAGCTTCTTGTTCGAATGACCCCGTTCCACCTTAAACGGTGCAGCAGTTGGGCGCCTGAATGTAACTGCTGCACCATTCAAGGTGGAACGGGAATATTCGAACAGGAACCCAACTTCGCTCGTATATATATGCTGAGTTCGTACATTTACACTTGTCTCGCGCACGCGCACGCTCATACACCGAGTACGACCACCGCACACGCGCGCGCCCGCGCTCTGTTGTGTGTAAACCAGAGGTGCGGGTGCTCGAATGGAGAACCAGCTCAGCGCGAGACGAATCGGTCGCGAGGGTCAGATAATGAATAAATAACAGGACACAAGATGACCGTTACGGCAGCGCGTGCTTAAAAAGCGCCGCGCATCTGTCCTCGCGCGGCCTCTGCGCGCGGGGATTATCAGAGCGGCTCCGTCTGCGCGCGCCATACGCAGCTGTGAGCGGCTTTACATCAGCGAACTGACACTTTTAACCCCTTTATTTTAGTCTCCCTCACCAAGTCTCAGACTTCCCTGTTCTTTTAAACGCTTCAGACTGTTTTGGGGCATAAACACTTAGTACAGTACTAGATACTACACTCTTATAAAAGATGGTTCTTCAAGGGTTCTTTAGTAACGAAAGTGGTTCTGTATAGAACCATGAATACTCAAAGAAGGCTTTGCTGAATAAAGGGTTCTTTGCATGGTAAAATGGTTCTTCAGTTTGATATTCTGTAAGGTTCTACATGGAACCTTTTTGAAAATGGTTCTATACAGCACCAAAAAGGCTTCTTCTATCTTTACAAGCTTGTCGTGGTAACAGTAGAAGACCCCTTTATGGTGCTATATAGAACTGTTTTCAAAAAGGTTCTATATAGAACTATATACAACATGTTCTTCATCAAATCGAAGAACTCTTTACTCATGTAGATGGTTCTTTAAGTGTTCATGGTGCTCATGCATGCTTAAAAGGTTCTTTGCATGGTTAAATTGTTCTTCAGATTGAAGGTCTATATGGTTCTACATAGAACCTTTTCCAAAATAGTTCTGTATAGCATCAAAAGGGGTTCTTCTATTTTTACATGCTTGACCTTATAACAATAGAAGAGCCCTTTTTAGTGCTATATAGAACCCGTTTCGAAAAGGTTCTAAATAGAACTATAGACAACATGTTCTCCATCGATCTGAAGAACACTTTACTAATGCAGAGGGTTCTTTGAGTATTCATGGTGCTCATGCATGCTTAAAAGGTTCTTTGCATTGTTAAATTGTTGTTTTGATTGATGGTCTATATGTTTCTATATAGAACCTTTTTCAAAATGGTTCTATATAGCACCAAAAAGGATTCTTCTGTTTTTACAAGCTTGACTTCGTAACAATAGAAGAACCCTTTTTGGTGCTATATAGAACCCTTTTCAAAAAGGTTCTAAATAGAACTATATAAATTACATTCTCCATCAAACTGAAGAACACTTTACTTGTGCAGAGGATTCTTGGTGCTCAGTCGTGCTTAAAAGGTTCTTTGCATGGTGAAATGGTTCTTCGGATTGAAGTTGTATATGGTTCTACATGGAACCTTTTTGAGAATGGTTCTATATAACACCAAAAAGGGTTCTGTATTTACAAGCTTGACATCTTAACAATAGAAGAACCCTTTTTGGTTCTATATAGAACTGTTTTCAAAAAGGTTCTAAATAGAACCATATACAACACATTCTCCATCAATCTGAAGAACGCTTTACTCATGCAGAGGGTTCTTTAAGTGTTCATGGTGCTCATGCATGCTTAAAAGGTTCTTTGCATGGTGAAATGGTTCTTCAGATTGATGTTGTACATGGTTCTACATAGAACCTTTTTCAAAATGGTTCTATATAACTCCAAAAAGGGTTATCCTATTTTTACAAGCTTGACATCTTAACAATAGTAGAACCCTTTTTTGGTGCTATGTAGAATAACACATTCCCCATCAATCTGAAGAACCATTTCACAATGTAAAGAACCCTTTAATCTTGCAAATCAGTGTTTATTGTTCTATATAGAACCATTTTCTGTACTAGAGGACTGATCTTTTTTAAGAGTGTAGTGTTTAAGCGTACTACACACTTGTTAGAGTGCTGTGTACAAAGTATGCACTTCATGTTACACAGTTAAGTGTGTTCTAAGTGTGTTACACGTTTTATTTTTAAAGTTACATTATCAGATGCTACGTTAATGTTTGCCTTGTCTTCTATGAAGGTTTTGTATTTCTGAGATATGAGGTTCTATTATGATGGAATATGTGAAGTGTGGAACGCCTTGCTGGGTCATTTCCCACAGACTCGGAGAGAACAGACTGTTATTAAAAGTGTCACACATCACCTGCTATGGGATACGTGGTCACATGCAGCCCTGACCAATGTAGACACTGTCAACACATTTCTGTACCTGCTGCCATTATGCAGCATATGTACTGCACTAATTTGACCACTACACATCTACTATGCTGTAATTTGATTACTGCACATCTGCTGTGGGCTTATTTGACTACTGTGCATCTACCACTCACTTACTTGACTACTGCACATTTATTTGACTGCTGCATATCTACCATGCACTTATTTGACCGCTGCGTATCTACTCTGCACTTATTTGGCTACTATGTATCTCCCATGCTCTTATTTGACTACTATGTGTCTACTGCGCTCTTATTTGATGACTGTGAATTTACTACTACTACCTATTTCATTACTAGGTGTTTACTACACATTTACTACAAATCTACAGTACATGTATCTGTCCACTGCAAACCTACCATTCTTTTAATTGACTAGTACATATTTACTATGCATTTATCTCACTACTATGAACCATTTAACCATTTTTTTATTGCTACGTATCAATCATGGATTTATTTGATCACAGTGTAGCTTTTAGGCACTAAGACTGAAAGATTAATCTGTTTTTTATGTCTAAATGGTTTTGAAAGTGTGCAGATTTCACATTGCAAGAGAAAAACATCTTGAGTTTGGATATTAAACCTAATGATAAGAAGCTTGTGACTTGACTGTAGATGAGTTGGACCAATCAGAAGCAACCAAACACCAGTGTTCTGTGTACGTGACAATACAACCACAGCTAACTGGCGGGCAGAAGTGGATTTTTTGGCCCTAATACTAGGCTTGGATCCTTAGTTTATTAAAAATATTTGCCTTTGTATTGATTGAAAAATTGCAGTTGGATGTTTTCACTTTAACTCTGTGTGTGCACTTTTGTACTTATTCAGGTGTTACGTTTATTATACATTCTGCACCTGCATAACGCCAATTTGCAATGCAAATAACCAAGTTTATGACATGGAGTATAATAATATATGTTAAGTTAGTAAAACCACTACCATATTCTCAAAGTTGACTGCGTACTGTGGTACACAGTACAGGATACAGGTACTCTCTGTGTCTTATGTGGTGAATATTGTGGCTGCAGAGTTCTGTTTCTGGCTCTGTATATGTAGATTTCGGACACAGCCCCTGACTCTCTATCCCAGATTTTTGCCTTAAATTAATGTGTTCGCATGTGTAACCGGCTCATGACCCCCAGCAGAGTTCCTCCTCTCGAGCCCCTCTGAGACAGCACCTGTCGAGCAGTAATGCTCGCTCACCGTTCTGCTGAATAAAACATCTCGTGATGCATGAGCGCAGGGGGCCTTCCGTGACCCGCTGAGCTAACTGGCCCAGTATTAGCTGTGTGCTCAACAAACAGGGCGTCTTGCATAATGCTAGCCTTAGCTCAACCTGTGTGTGTGTTAGCGGAGGAGATACGGCATGAGTTAATATGAAGGTCACTGAATTACCTTTTTCCTATCTTGTCCCTTGTCAGTCTCGCGTTTTTAAAACTCCTCCCCTCATACATTTCAGTTTCACCACTGACTCTGCCCTGAGCAATATAGTGAGGATGACCTACATGTTGGCTTTTTCTGGCCATTTGAGAGAAACACCACTGAAATTATAGAAAAGCAGAAACTGGAGTTTAAACATGTGTAGACCAAAAAAAAACTTTGAAAAAGGAAACGTGCACTGATGTTAGGCTAAAGTAAGGAAGAAGGCTAGCTAGACACTATTTCTACCACACTAGAATTAAATTAGCTAATATTAATGCTAGCCGAGCTAGTGTTACATCTTTCCACGATTGTATTGCCACGTCCAGTAGATGTTAACTCCAAAAGAGAGAGGTGGGGGGGGGGGGTTTCAAAAGATGATGTTTGTATTTTTCTTCAAAAGGAAGCTTTGTACTAAAATCTAGAGCTACAAGATCTTTTTCAAGAAAGAAAATGTGAAGAAACAAATCCCCAGACCAAGATTCCTGTATGATCCCTCAGCAGTTCAGCAGCATATGATGGTTGAGCTCAACTTAAATGCTAATATTGCACCAAAGCTAGCCCCGTTAGAATTATCCGAATGAGAGGATGTCAGCTGGTCTCCCTAAGTTTTATTGATTGCTGGCCGCATTAGCAAGTTTGAGTGAAGTGTTCCAAGTTTATGGAAATTGTCCTATTAATGCTGCAAGACGGGGAATGAGTAGGACAGCTAAAATCGAAGCTAATGATTGAATTTCCTGAGGTGAACGTCCTTTTTTCAGGATTTTCCTGCCTCTCTGGCAGCTATTGATGGATAGTTTAATTTTAGGAGGATATTATTAAAGAAGCTTCATTTGAATAGAGTGATAAATTCTCAGATTGATTGATTGATAGGCCTGGGGCGGATTCCACGCTTACTCTTCCCTTATTAAACTCCGAGCTGTAACTGGGGCAGAACGAGACGACTTCTCTCATGAATATCATTTATGGTGGTAAAACTCTAATTTCCTGCACTGCGTATTAATCTACATTTTTTTCCCCCTCGCTTTAATATTGAACCCACCATAGACTTACAGAGACGTATCAATGAACCTGACGGAGTGAGAAAATGTGCTTGTTCAAA